ATCATCATTATCAGAAATAGACATAAAAACATTTAATGACAGACTGTTTCCCATAAAAATAAGAGTTTTTTTTTATTAAAAAGGTCTGGATGTTATTTCAAACATCTATTAGTTCTATACATATAATAAAAGAAAGGTTATTTTTGGCATTATATTTTTATACTAAACAAAGATTATAGGTATTGCACCATTTACAATGAAAGCCCAGATGCAGGTGAGAAAACGTACAGGTGAAAAACAAGTTACAATGACTCTAATAGTGTAAGTTGTCACTTTATTTGGCTAGGTGGACAAAACAATAGATAGAAAATTTAAAATGTATTACAAGACACCTAACCATATGAAGACTTTGCCAGGTTATTTTCTGTGCTCTTGCTGAGAAATGTTTTAAAGTTCTAGTTTCAATTGCCAAGCCCTGTTTGGTATGTCAGTACCTACAGTACATTCCTCACAGGAGATTGCAAACAATTAAAGCCCTCTCTTCAGGGACTGAAACTGAGCTGCCTCGTAAAACAAGCCAGATTCATCCAACGCCAGCACCATACATGCAGGTGTTCAAATCCACTGGCAATTAGCTTCGGTGAGGTTTGTAACAGCAAGGACCAATTCCCTGCTCTTTCAGGTCAAAGTGCCTGATTAAACCGATGTGAAACAAAGCCACATTCGATTATAATGAGGCCTTTGTGCCAGGTTCACCCACAACATTGTGCTAACATTCATATCGCCATCACGCATAGCAATAAAATGCTCCAGACGCTTTGCTTTTTACAGATTTCTCACTATGACAGGGATAGAATAGAAAAAATACATATATCATGTCACAGTGAGTCATTTTAAGAAAGCAAAAAGTTTTTAGCATTTTTATTTATACAGAAGCACAGACAATCTATATGAAAAATCTACAGCTGATACGTGTGCATGTATACAGAAAGAAAAAAGAAATGGTATTGCAGTTTCGGCTCAAATGTCTGCTTTTTATAAAGCTTTGTTTTCTTTGCAGTTGGCATGAAATTTATGCTTTTTTAGCACTTTAGAATATCTCGTTTGGATTCCACCTCAGTGCTGTAAACCTTGCTTTTCAAATCAACGCATGGCACTGACAGACTGAGCATAATTAGCACCCTGATTAAAAGCTTCTTAAAGGAAAGTAAAAATAAGGTTTACATCCCTTCAGAATGACAGTGTCCCAGGGTAGTACAAAGGTACTGTAAAATGTGTTTATGGTATGTGTGTATACAGTATATACAGTATGTATATATGCATTATGTGGAAAGCACAATGCATATATTCAGACTTAATGATGCATGAGCTTTTCAATAAGATCTCCATTAATTTTGCTCTGAAGGTAACAGATATAAAGCAAGGTTAATAATATAGCATTACTGACCAGGTGTGTTACCTTAGACTTCAATGCAGCACTTTCTCATTAGGGAGTGAATTTTGATTGGATATCTCTGTCATCCATTTGCCTCACTACAGAATCTGTAGCTCCAGGAGTACCTGTGCTCTTGCTTTAGGTTGAGACTGACAGGTTATTGGATTTTTGAGTTATTGCAAAATGGAGGAAGCACTTCTCAGCACTATAGTGGATTTCATTAACATACAACAAAAGGCTTATAGATAAAAATATGAAAGTCTGTAACAAAATAACTAGAACATGAATTCTATATGAATTTGAATGTTTGTTTCTTTAAATGGTGAATGTAGTACACACAGAAATAATTTAAAATGGTAAGTTTGGGAGCAGTTATAATTAATTATACTGATACTTCTCTAGTCATTGATTCCACAAATATTTTTATGCTTTAAAGGTTTTATCTTCAAAATCATATATATATATAACAGACAGTATTTGGTATAATATTGGGATGGTATTTTTTGGGGGAAAAGCTTCATATCTATGTAGAGATGGGCCTTGGTTTGTAAATCAGCTCAATAAACATGCACAATAACACGTTTTCCTGGGAAAGCCAAACATTCTCTACTTTTTAAGAAGGAATTTTAAGATGTACTATTTCCCAAAGCTATAAACCATATATGAGCTAATAACTCCGGAACACATTCATTCCAGAATGTCATAAGGATAGCTGTACTAGCTATTTTTCTGTCACATTGTGACAGAAAATATGACAAATATCAATATATTTTGACAGTACAGTTTAGCAACAGAAAAGGACTGTGATGCATTGATTTAATTATATTTACAATATTGCTTTTAAAGCGAAAAGTGTTAACTTGTAAAGTTTCCCTTTAGAAATGTATCAGATCTTCTCTCTATGTACTTAACACACATACATTACTTAGCTACACAGCTTTCTTTGTGTTTTACCCTAATAAATATCTTCATAGATTATAACAGGGAATATTATTATTGTAAAAGACAGACCCACCTGTGTTGTTTAAGCGTAGTTCAGTGTTCATAATGTCTAAGTGACATTTTTTTCTTGAAGCAAAGCAAGGATCAAATACATCCTAATGTTTAGGAATTACTTGGGTGTGTTTCAGTATGATTTTAATGAACTTTACATTTTCTTTTAAAAGAAAAACAAAATACTTCATGGCAGGTTCCAAATCTTAATGTGAATCTCATACAAAAATGAAGTTAAAAATGAATTTTTATCCACGGTTAATATTAATATTTTATTACCTGTGGTATAATCAACAAGGAATAATATATTAAATCCATCCATCCATTTTCTTACCATTTCTTCCAATTTAGGATAACGGGGGAGTTGGAGCCTGTCCTGGCATACAACAGGCTGAAGGCAGGGTGCCCTGTGCCTATTAATATAATTAAACACTGATATATTTTTGTTTGGGGGAAAAAAAATAATGCAGATGGGGAATGTTAACGGTGTTGTCCCAAATGTCATGAACATTTTTTTTAAAATCTATAACACCTGTTGTACAACACAGAAATGTCATTTTTATAGACGGTAGGTCTTGCCTGTGGCCAGTCACTGGGGAGCATTCTGGGTGGGGTTAAGCAATACTGAGTGGGGCTAATTTAGAACAGCAATTGAAGGGCAGCTCCTGCATTGTTCCCTGTTTACTCACATAATCTAGCTCTCAGGTGGCTTAGAGTAATTCTCTAAATATTTAACAAGTATGAGAGGAGAGCATTTACAACAAATTGTGCTGCAAAATCTTTTGCAGTAATCTGATTAAGTTAAATTTTGCAATTTTTTTATTAGATGCAGCAAAAATGACAATGATTTGTAACATAAATGACAACATTTCCACGCTGAAATTCTTAGGAAGAAAGGTTTGTCTACCCTTTTTCACTAAAATAAACACTTTCAGACATTTGTTTCCACAAATTAGCACTTGGTATATACTGTATTTGTGGAATTAATTTAGCAATTAAAGGTGAAACTGAGGTCCTGACTCTCAGTGGTCATTAAAGATCCTGGGCATTTCTTGATAAAAGTAGGGAGTTATCCTGGTGTCCCGGCCAAATTTCCCTCCTACCCTGCTCGTTGCTTGCCAGGTAGGCTCTGGCTTCCCACAACACCATAGGGTATAAAGTGGTTTCGCAAATGACATGACATTTGGGACAACATTCCATCTTCAGCACTGCACAGTGATGTACTGTTCTGTCTACATTTCAAAAGGACAGTACACAACAGGACTTCCACAACATAAAACATCCTTCAGTCATTTATGTTTTTTGTAGTTTATTCTACTCCAAAACCTAAACTAACTTTGTCTACACAATAGCTGCACAGATTCCTGTATTCCTACAGTCAAAATCCCCCCCTTAATGGAGTACAATATATATTGCAGATGGTAGCATTTTTTCAATATTGTATTTATTTAACGCGCTGGAAAAGCCAAAGTGCGTACAGAGTAGGGAACCTAATGGATATTTAATACCACTAAAACCATTATCAGATAGCAATTGACATGAATTGTCATGGTTTGATATACTGTTATTGATTTAGAAAAACGTAGCACTCAACCTTTAACAGACCAACATCTTCTCTAGCAATTTTCTTGAGGTCAGCATTCAGAAATGCACCATTCTTTGTAGCTTTTACATGATCCTAAATTCACTTCCTAGTTGCCTGATCTGTTTTTTTTTTTTTTTAATCCTTGGAAGTATATATTGACCTGCAAACCTGTGTGGATTTCTACTGTGTACTTGTGGACATATCCCTCTGACTGTTATTCTGTTTCTTGCTATTTTAAACCTCATTTAAATAAGAATATTCATAGAATGAAACATACCTGAGACAAATAACTTGGCAATTTTTGATTTAAATTAGAAGTGGTTTAAAAAAAGTATTAGTTGTATTGTAGGGACATCCCCACTTTTTTCTCAAGATTTACTTTATTTGTAGGGAGAATTTCTCACATTTTCCCCCAGGTTTTATTTTAATACATACTGCACCCTATTTCCAACATGCACACATGCTTTAAAAATCATCTTTCATTCTTTCTCATTTACAGTATAAATGTAATTGATTTTGAGTGTTTAATTGAAAAGCGGTTTTATACCTATAACTGTAGCATCCTGTTTTATGTAACATAGATACAGTATGTGCATTTTTAACCATTTCTTGTGAAATGCAATTGTCTTAATATTCTTTATTTCAATCTAAAATCATTAGCAAAAGAAAAAAGGATTTTAGATGAAAACATGTATATGCTACATTGACTAGTTCTTTTTAGTAGTGTTTTTATTGACTTGACCCTCTGCTTATTGAAAGGTGTGTATTCCTACTGCAGCTATCGCTTAGTGAAACCACTTTGTGATGACTTTGACCTGTATTCATTTGACGTTTCGACGAAAGCAAATCATGACCTGGCTGACCGGATTTGCATCTTTTTGTATCCTAAGGAATCAATCTTAATCTGTGATGAGGGCATTCTTGCGCAGCTTAAAAGAACACATCAGAAAGATTTGGTTATGCCTTTGAAAGACAACGATAATCTTTAGATTTGATTATACAGCCTGTCATTTTCGATGCGCACAGGGATGAACCAGCAGCCAGTGATTTCTTACTGACAATAGAGTGCGTCTGTGCTTAGCGCCTTGTCACACAAGCAGAACAGCGCTGCCCAACCCTTTTCCTCCTGTAAGCGTGAATACCGTTGAGTGAAGAACAGGAGATGGAAAAAAATCTCCACCCTTCTGTTATATATACAGTATCGATTTGGGATTTCTAACCGGACGGATGGTTTTTTTTTCTTTCTTGTCGAAAAAAAAAAGGGATGTCGATGGTTTTTAAGATTGCGATTTCCAAATTTAGATGCGGGTTTCGGGTTTATAGGAAGACGTATTTGCACGGATCGTTTTGAAGCGGATTCGCGATAATTAGTGCTCACACCTTTGTTAAAATAACATGCAATCATTTTACCCGATATTAGCGGCAAATATGTATTCATAACCACAGAAAAGTGCCTAATAATAATGCATAGCTCTTTTAAATAGACCTGGAAATAAGAATTAATATACCCTGCATTTTTCGCAACAGAAACTGGGCGAACTGCCTGGTCTTTCGCAATTCAGTCGCTATTTTTTTTTCTTCTGAATTGCTGAAAAACAGCCAGCAGTCTTTGGGCGAGCTGCCCCTCCCCCGCAACACAGACACCATTGCACACAACAGCAGGGAGAATAGTGGAGAGACAGAGTGAGGGAACGATAGGCAGCACCAGTGGCTGTGAAACACACCCGTCAGCCGAGCTGAGGAGAAGCAGGACGGAGAAAAAAAATGGATTTATCAATACAATACCAGCATAGAAAGAAACCGGAAAGGATGTTTTGGTCGTCTTACACATAGCGGGGTAACGTACAGCATTCTTTTTTAATGTGGTGGTGCGAGAAAACGTACTGCAAGCTAAAAAGGCGGAAAGCTGTTTTTAATCCTTCTGCGGATTCAATGAGCTTGCAATGGCTCTTGCGGGGAGATGTAGCAGCAAAAAGAAGAACGTGCCCGTTTCTTTCTTGATATTGTTATTATTTTGTGGCCTTGCATCAGGGCAGATTCGCTATTCTATTCCAGAGGAATTAAAAGACGGATCTGAAGTTGGGGATATTGTGGTGGATTTGGGTCTCGATCTTCGAAAGATCTCCGCCCGCAGGATTAAGATAACCTCTAGCAATGCTAAGCGATATTTGGATATTAATCTTAGCAACGGAAAATTGTTCGTGAATGACAGGATAGACAGAGAGTCGCTTTGTGAGCTAAGCAGCTCCTGCTTTTTGAGCCTCGAGGTGGTCGTGGAAAATCCACTGGAGGTGTACAATGTGGAAGTGGAAATATTAGATGTGAATGACAATGCGCCGCAGTTCCCCAGAAATGAATACGAGTTGGAGATCTCGGAATCTGCTTCACCTGGGGTGCGATTCCCTGTGGAGAGCGCGCAGGATCCGGACGTGGGTTCGAATTCAATTCGCATGTACCGACTCAGCCAGAACGAGCATTTTGCTCTGGACTCCAACACTCCCGCACCGAACAGCAAGCTGATAGAACTGGTGCTAAAAAAAGCCCTGGACCGCGAGCGAAACCCTTCTCATCAGTTGATTTTGACAGCTGTTGACGGCGGTACCCCGGCAAGAACTGGCACTGCTAAAATAAACGTGAGAGTCTTGGATTCTAATGACAATGTTCCGGTATTCGACAGCTCTATCTACAGAGTTAATTTGCTAGAAAATTCACCCAGGGATACGTTGGTGATCAAGCTAAATGCAACAGACTTAGACGAAGGTTCGAATGGGGAGGTCTTTTATTCATTCAGCAGTTATACACCTGAAAGGGTCAGGCAAATCTTCAGTATGGACCCAAACACTGGGGAGATCCGAGTTCGGAGCCATGTGGATTATGAGGAAACCAGCTCGTATGAGATTTATGTACAAGCTATGGATAAGGGGGCGTCTGCAGTGGCTGTGCATTGCAAAGTCGTCGTAGAAATCGTTGATGTCAATGACAACACGCCTGAAATAGTCCTGTCTTCCTTATCCAGCCCTGTTCGTGAGGACGCGCGGCCTGACACCGTGGTGGCACTAATCAGTGTGACAGACAAAGACTCTGGCCTCAACAAGCAGGTCAGCCTTGAAATTCCTTCAGACCTCCCTTTCAACATCAAATCCTTCCGAAATTACTACACCTTGGTCACGGCTGGCTTTCTAGACCGGGAAAGCGTGCCAGCGTACAACATCACCCTCACCGCAACAGACTCAGGGTCCCCACCTCTGTCATCCAAGAAGACCATCCGAGTGGAGGTCGCGGACGTCAACGATAACCCTCCCCGTTTTGAACAGACATCCTACACCATCTATGTCAACGAGAACAATGCCCCCGGGGCGTCTTTGTGCTCAGTGAAGGCCCAGGATGCAGACAGCAATGAAAACGCCCAAGTGTCCTACTCCATCGTCAGCAACGAGAAGCACGAAATCCCCATCACCTCCAACGTGTCCATCAACTCGGAGACGGGGGTGGTTTACGCCCGCCACTCTTTCGATTACGAGACCCTGCGGGAGTTCCACTTCCAGGTGTCGGCGCAAGACGCGGGGGTCCCCCCCATGAGCAGGGTGGCCACCGTGTACGTGTACGTGGTCGATCAGAACGACCACGCTCCCGAAATCTGGCACCCCTCCCCGGTCAACGTGTCCAGATCGACAGAGATGATACCCAAGGACACAGAGGCGGGCCACCTCGTCACCAAAGTGGTGGCGTACGACGCGGACGCAGGCCAGAACGCCTGGCTGTTCTACTTCCTGGAGCAGGCCACCGACCCCACCCTCTTCAGGGTGCACCAGCACACGGGGGAGATCCGCACCACCCGCAAAATAGTAGAGGACAACTCCACCACCTTCAGCTTGACCGTCCTCGTCAAAGACAATGGGGAGCCGCCTCTCTCTGCCACTGCCACCGTCAATGTGGCGGTGATGGAGTTAGCTCCTAAGGTCATCCCCGATCCCAAGAAGAGTGTCAAAGACAACGGCAAGCTCTTTACACATGTGACTCTGTATTTAATTGTTGCCCTGAGTGCCACCTCCTTTGTTTTTGTCTTGACTGTGATAGTCCTGGCTATAGTCCGATGCAGCACCCAGCAGGGGCCATGTTGTGGGAGCCAGTGCTGTGTGGCACAGAAACAGGCCCCAGACAACAGTCAGCAGCCCAACAATAACGTGGTGCTCCGCCGTGACTTGAAGGTGGAGCCTCATTATATAGAAGTGAGGGGCAATGGGTCCCTTACTAAGACTTACTGCTATAAGACATGCCTGACAGCCACCTCTGGAAGTGACACTTTCATGTTTTACAATACTGGCTGCCCCCCTGGTACCAGTACTGTAGGTTCAGACAGATTCTTCACTGGCCAAAGTGGACAGAGCCAGATCTTTGTTCGTAGACTCAGCATGCCAAATGAGGTGAGACTGGATGGATCAGTTAAGGTATATTTCACTCCACTAATTGATACAGAGATTTCAAATGCTTTGTATCTTTTTAAAAACTCATTTATACATATTTTAAGATCATTTTATTAAATAATTGAAATGCATTTTCATTGTTTCCAAATGGGCTTTCTTTTTAGGGGAACACACAGTGTGGTGGTATAATGATGAAAATAGAAATTCTAAAATTTGTTCTCCCTAATGTTAGGTAAGGTAAGATTAGATCTGTAAATTTGAATGGCTATTTTATCATGTTTTCTCTTTCATGAGAGTTAAGGTGAATATAATTATGCATTCTGCCTATAATTAAGTTCTTTCTCCTGAAATCAGATGGAAATTGCATGTGAATCCGACCTGCATGTGTTTTGATGTGTCAGACCCAAAGTGTTTTGTACATCTTCCTTTTTGTAACCAATGGAGCAATCATTAAACATCATCTCCTAACCATTTTCTGTATCCTGGGAAAAATTGAATTATTAGCGAACCTTACAGCTGCTTTTCCATTTTTTTATCTGCATGATTTTAGTTATAGTCATAAATAATTCATTTTTTTCCATCCCATACTTTACATAGTAGTTCTCTTCCCAGGTTTAACGAGCAATTTCTGATTTTCTCCAGACAAGCTGCACTGACGTGTTCTACTTCATTGCTAAGCAGCTGGAGTTCTTACTTGTTAGGGGTGACAAGGCTGAGGAATGTTTCAATTCAGCTAAGCTGTCTCACATGAACAGTGCAAGGAAGTACTATATTATTCCTTTGCACTGCTGGTGTTAAAGAATGATACTCATGTTTTCTCAGAAAGGTTTGCTTTTGAGAACATTTAAGAATTCACTAAATTGTAAGCTATTTGTCATAGTTTTATGTAAAACTTCAATCTAATAAATAATGTTCTCCATTAGAAAGGTGATCTGCCTATGTCTGCAATCCCCTTCTTGATTCAATGTAAAAAAAAACACCTCTAAAATGATCTTATGATCAGCACTGCTTCAATGTGCTTTTTAATGTCAAAATAGTGGAACATTTGGGTTCTTGTACTTAAATGTATTGGAATATTTTTTTTTATTTAAATGGACTGATGTTGAATACTGAGTTCTGGTTATGTCTTGGATAAAACTGTGCTACATCCGTCATAATGAACTTGGAAGAACGTGAAAAATATAAAAGGGTGTTTTGGGCTGTTGTGCTCATTTGGTTTCTAGTACTTTATCGATCTGAGGATCTCATCAGTGCATGAAAGATCCAAGGAAATTATCCTTACCAATGTAGATGGGCAGACACCCACCACTCGTTATGTAAAGAAATGCTTCCTGTTCCCATTCCTAAATGCACTTCCTTTTCAAAGTCCATTTGTAATCTTGGGTGCTCGCTGTAGGTATTCTCCTGCCAACACAAAGCAAATCATGGAGTAGTAGAAATAAAGAATTGTCCAAGTCTGAGTCTATGTTAGTATGAGATTTGTTCACTTTATAGTTGGGCAATTAATTAAGTTGGGCAGTTCCCATTCATAAAGTTTAATATGTGCAAACTTACTACAGATTATGTGTAAACTATATTACCTACAGTACAAGAAATGTATTATTCCCTGTGGTTTGCTCTGTGACATTCATTTAAATTGACCTGAATTGAAAAAGCAGTGAGTAGATATCCAGATCTCTTCTAATCTTTTTAACTGGCATATTTTAACCACTAACTCTCACTGGTTGGGTCTTAGTATTTGGTTTGAATAGAAAAGATGGCTCTTTATATTCTGCTCCATATCAGGAAATATAAAAAGAATATAAAAATACTGTGATACTAAAACAAGCAGAGTGTGTTGAACAATCCCTGGTGAAAAAGGCATGCCAAATGAGTTATGAGCACTCATCTGGAGGTCTTGTCAGTTCAAAGCACAGAAGCCACTCACCAGAGACTCTGGATGTGGAGGCCATGCACTTTTGTTTGAAAGCATGCTTTTGCATTTCAGACCGGTCTAGTATATATGTAAGAGTTAAATATGTGATCAGCCCTCTATGGGCAGCAATGTAGAGATCAATACCATCTGTTTTCTTCTGTTAGATTGATGGAGAGCTGCCACTTGGAATATTAATGCTTTCACACTGCTGTGATCGATTCAGAGACAATTGTGTATGCTATTGTCTATTTTATTTAATTGTTTATCGTACAGCCATTTATGCGGAACTGGTGGTATGCACCATTTTCTTGGACTTCCAGAAAGTAGATAAAGATGTGGCTTCCAGAGTGTCGAATTGTCCTGCTGTTGAATCAGATGTTTAGGGTGTTGTCTGCATGTCAGCTCTATGTTATTTTGTTACATAATTGATGTTAATGCACTTGAGTTAATTTATCAAGGTAAGTCACTTGTAACTGTATTGTATACAAAATATATTTTTTGTCTCTATAATTGAACAACATTGTGGGACCATGCTTACAAATGTAACATATATCTTTTGCGTTTCAAATATAGCATCATATCTGTATTTCTGCATACTTCTTCTTACGGTTTTACATACATTTGATTCCTTATTGAAAGAGTATATCATGACAAGGCCTCATGGCATTTATTTCAAGAAGATTATGTCAGTGCCAGAAATCCTGCAGACTGAACGGGCTATCCTTAATATTATAGTTGTCTAAGCATAACATGAACAAGAACATTGAAGATGTGGCCATAACTCTTCGGGTTTTTTGTAGACAGTAACATTTTGAGATGTATGCCATATGTGGTCACTGATTATTTCAGTTTATACAACTGTAGCCTGGTCCCAATGTTTCTGCATGCTAATAGTTTGTAGTGGCTGCTAATTATGAAAATGTGCCTTTTATTTAACATTTCAACTTAAAAGAGTATTGAGATTTCCTAATGAAAAGAAACATTGACATCTAAAATTTGAAGTTTTTATGCCCATATGTTCCAAGGATTTTTTAAAAAGTTTTGTTTCTCAATGTGATCTTGTTAAAGAAGAACAGAGCATGGATTTCCTCTCATGAATTCCATCCTCAGGATTGCAGCTGCAGTTCCCATTAAAGTGTGTGCTGCAGATATGACATGACTAATTAATGAGACAATATTTGGTTTAAGGAATAAGCATAAAATCCCAGCTAAGGGTACTCCTGTTCTTCTTTTGCAGTCCAAGCCTCCCAATGCAGACTGGCGCTACTCTGCATCTTTGAGAGCAGGAATGCAAAGGTAAGCATTTTAAATCTAGTCAGCAGCAGACGACTTTCCAGAAGTCATTTTTGATCTTCATCCTATATCATTGTGCATGGAATATGACAGTTCATGTAGGTTTTCCTCTTTACATCAGGAGTGCTTTGATAATTTATAACAAATATAAAATCTACAGTAAGCGTTTCTTAAGATTTATGGAGAGCTTCAAAGATATCATAAGTGATATTTCATTTGTGTGATTATAGACATAATAATAATAATAATAATAATAATAATAATATCAATATATAGACATATACATATAATAAAAATGCAAAGTTACAGATTACACTAACAAGGAAGTGCATCACTTTGAATTTGAAATGGACCTACTGTACTGTATGTCATCCACCAGAGCCACCAGCTGTTGTTAAAATATCTTGGTAACCCTGACTTGCTTCAAATCTAAAATAGATTTTTAATGAGAAGACTTACGTACATTGAATTCCACTTTTAGAGAAAACAAACAAGCAGAACAATCTAATAAATGTCACTTAACCAGTAACATGGATTGGCCCATATGATGTGAAAATGTAGGTCAACTGCATATAAACCATGTCCCAGAGCTAAAGAATCTGCATGCACAGATTTGAAGGAAAGTAGAACTGAAAATTTTAACATTTTTTTACCTTTTTTTGTATTTCAGAAAAGTAAAAATTTGTAAACCCCATTCATTCATTTTAGATAAAGAGTGAGGAGTCAGAGGAATGTTAAAGTTTTGAGACAAATGTGGAAGGGAAAACTTGTTGTCTCCTGATGCCTGCTAAATAACAGCAACTAAAACTGCTTCATGTGGGAAGAAGTGGTGAAAAAAAATAAACACCTATTATTCCAACATGAATAAAGCACAATTAATAGCATTTACACTGAAGAGACAAGCATGCATTCAAAGAAGATAAACATTTAGTAGCTTAATTTCTATTGGCCAGGTTTTTTTGTATTGGATACTGTGCTGAAGTATTAATTAGTGAACCTTGGATATTTAAAGCTAATGAATATTGTTTCACATTCTTAAAATGGCCAACAATGACAGTTTATTAAAGCCATATATAACATCAACATTTTTTATATTAATATTAAATTATTTTTTGTAAAAGGTTGATTAAAACATTAAAATGGTTTATTTTAAATATGTAGAAGGCTTGACAACTCCCTCCAAAAGCCCATAATTCTTCATTTGGAATTTACCCTCCTTCATTTTGTGCAGACACCATCCTCTGCAATGCAGTCCTTAAAGGGTTCTTTAATTCCTTTGTCTTTCTTATTTTTTTATTAATGTATGAAATTAACTGTGGATAGATTTCTAACTAATGATAATTCTGAAGCTAATCTCAATCAGAACTGTGTCTTGGTGCAGCCGAATTGACAGCAGATTAAAAAGAAGACTTCTTGAGAGGATCCTTATTGCAGCATTGCTAAAAATAGCACTTCACATGGGTGTTGGTCACATTGTGTGTGCTGAATTGCTGTTTTTGTGGGTGTCTGCACTTGTGCCTGTGATCATGGCTGTGTGGACCTGTAACTGTACTTTTTCTTTGATAAATGCTTGCTTAGAGGTAGATCCATTTCCTGATTCCATGTAAACCATATCAGCGTTGGTACTGTAGGTGCATGGGCTGGGGTTTCAACCAAATGAGCTGAGGATTTAAAGAAGACGTGCAGAGATCTAGGAAGAATATAATTTAACCAACTGGAGGTTGTGTGGGTCCTGTGAAATTCTTATTATGTGCTACAGTATGGAGTAGGTGTTTAGTTTCTTCATCCCTGTGGAAACACTGGAGCCACAATATTGATTTGATTTTAATTGCTTGCTTCTTATTATTCTGAGAAATGCAGCAGAGAACTGACACTGCAATAAAGAACCTGGAGGTTTTGCAGTATTCATTATTTTGTGAAAGGAGACATAAGGTTGCATCTCCACAGAAGAGAAATAATTATGCTTTGATTCAGGACAGGGTTGCAAACATACTCTGAATTTCAGAAACAATTAAATGCTTCATTTTAATGCTTGAATCGCTGGTTAAACTGAGATGAAATGCAAGCTTGAAAAGAGATGAGGGCACATTGTTTGTTGGAAGACAGATTCATTACAGTAATGCTGCTGTTTCATATATTTCATTATAGAATCTGCCACACTGCTGAAAATGTAGTGTGGCTTGATAAGAAAAAAATGTCTTATCAAGTGATAGAATACCTAACGGTCAAAAATAAAATAGGTGAATCTTGATCTGCTTCATTCTTTAATTTACTGCAAACTACCCATGTGAAACAACAGCATTTATTAATTTCTCTTTTTATTTGAATCTGTCTTTATAATGACCATGATTTCATTTCATGTAGTCATTCCTCCTGTTTCATTTCATTGATGGTAGACAGGGGAATGTTTAACTGAGGAAAAATATTGGCATAGTATAGCATGAATACTCAGTGACCTAAGAGACAGGTGGATTGTTCCCATATATTGTTCCAAGATTAGGAATGCATTAAAATAACAACTACATTTGTTTTCTTTGCAGTATTTAACTTGTTAGCACTCCCATGCTGAGGAGCATCATTTAACAATATAATCAGTATCTTTTTATAGTTTTTACCAGATTGGATAAATCTGGTATTAAAATGTGGACATGTTTAAGCAGTCGCAGTTAATGTTAATCACCCTACAAAAAATTAGGTTCCAGGTATCTGCCTAGCATATTCAGATGCATTATTTAATTGAACAAAGTGTCCCATGAGAATCTTCCATGTAATCCAGTGTCTTAGACTACATGGAAACAATGTGACTCATTCAAAGCTTATTTCTTTCATAAAATAACATAAAGCTTTTACTAGGTAACACAGGTATCATTCAATTGCTAAGAACCCTCTGAAGTGAAGGGTTCTGCAGTCACTTTCTACAATATAATATTACCCAATATGAATTCCCTTCCTCTCATATTTCTTATTAAAATGTGTTATATAAGCTATTATTTGTTTAGTATAGTTATACAACATATTCTTTGCATTAAGGCTATTAAACAAGCCTTCCTTACTGTACAGTAAATCCCTGAGTGCATGAACACAATTCCAAGAAATAACATGCCCCCATATTGTTGAAGACCATAATATTGTGTAGAATATTAAGGAAGATCAATTCTCTTGTTTCAATAGTAAAACTATCAAACAACAAATCACTATACTTTTAGCAATCCTCCTAAAGATTTTTTCGTAAATTAAATTGAATTAATTCCTTCTTTGCAAATGGACTTTCACAGTTCAAAAAACAATTTTAGATTCAAATAGCCAGAAAAAATATGTATGAATAAAGTTCATGGTTAGAGCAAGAAAAACATGCTTAAACAGTAGTTCTTCTTGTAATTCCTCTTAATAATTACTTCTCAAATACCCCTTGAGATGACTAAACAAAGAATATGCTTTATTTGGATTTGCAAAATCATTTCTAAGTTAACATATTTTGATTATAAATGTGCAGATGTTCAATGAACACTCTGCATTCTAGTTAAGCATATCAAGACAGCTGGATCTGAAATTGTCTGCAAAAACCACTCGCATGTTGTGTCAGTGCGGGGAATAAAGGATCACCTTGCTTTCTGTGCTTAATAAACATTACTTGTTGCATAACACAGTCAAATTAATTTTAATATTATCCTCATTAAAACACCATAAATACTTGTAGTGTGCTTGGCTTCTCACCAGCCCACAACAATTTCTCAAATTCTCTCTTCTCTCTCATTGCATAGCTCACCATTTCTATCTAATATTTACAGTATTTCTGATAAAATATAACCTCAATAAAAGGACTAATATAACAAGAAATTGTTTTTTTAGAAAAATATATCAATACCTTAAATCATGGTGCAAATATTTAAACATAAAAAGTAGGTGCTGAGTTGAGATACTAATTGTCCACATTGTATGCTAATGAAATAAGCGTTATCAAGGTGCAATGGCAACTGCATCCTTTCATTCATTGTCAGCAAATGTGTGAATTTTAGATCTGCTGCTGTAATTTCCAGCACTTTAAAAGGGGATCTGATCAGAGGAGTTATGATAATTGCTGGTCTGTGCTGAAAACCAAGAAAGCCATTTTGAGGCAGACTGAGAGAAAGAAACGCAATTTAAGCATCAGTCCCTGTAGAGATAGCCAGGGTCTTTTAGAGGGTAGAAGAAAACTCCTCATTTAAAATGCACCACTGCCTTGTTTTGCAAAGCAGGCCCTGAAAAAATGCAGGGCGACAGAGAAATTGTAGCACCTGTGATGCATACACTCCAGTATACATGCATGGCCTTCCAGAGATACACTCCATTTTGCTGAGAATTGTAAAGTAGAATACAAATGAACTGTTACTACACTTAGACTACAGAAACCTTGCAGTTTTACTCTTTTGAAAAGCCAATAAAACAATGTGAAAATGCAAGGTATTTACATGGCGTTTGATTTCGGTTTCCTTGACCTTGGTTCTCTGTTTTTCCAGTGCTGCAATGGGGTGTGTCTGTATTGAATTTCCTTGGTTTCTCTTGCAGCTCTGTGCACATGGAAGAGTCAGCTATTTTGCAAGGAGCTCCTGGGGTCCTCGTGCAGAACTGGCCCACAGTGTCCAGTGCAACAGGAGGAGGTACGTGTCCCGGCCCAGAAACGAAAGTGTTAAACCACTAATCTGTCTGCCATTGTAGTTAATTGTAAAATTCTGATCCCTTATCTGGGGTTAGGAAAAAATATCTAGTAAATTGTCATTGACCTCTTCAGCAAATGCACTTTTGTCTTTGGGACTTTGCCAACACCCTCCATTAATATTGGGTGATGTCTCTCCTTTGAAACTACTTCAAGAATTGGTGCTTTTTACATTTGAAATCTAAAAAAAAAAAACAGCGAGGAAAAAAAGAATGATATACTGTACTGTATACTTTTCCAAAGACAATGTTTTGCCACATATGGCAATAGATCACCTTTCTAATGTGATTGGTTATGATCTTTCAGCTTGTTTTATCAAAATCGATAATCCATTATCAGTAGTAAGAAAGGATTTTGGATTTAAAATATTCTGACAACCTTATGGCCTCCTAATAATCCCCGTCTATAAATTGGCTTCATTACTCTGCTCTCCTCCCCACTGATAGCTGATGTGTGGGGAGCGTTCTGGCGCACTATGGCTGCCGTCGCATCATCCAGGTGGATGCTGCACATTGGTGGTGGTGGAGGGGAGTCCCCATTACCTGTAAAGCGCTTTGAGTGGAGTGTCCAGAAAAGCGTTATATAAGTGTAAGCAATAATAATAATAATAATAATAATAATGGAATGAACATTAACAATTGTTTCATCTCCTGTTCCCCCAGTACTGTATGCAAGCAAGTTGATTTTCCTTTGAATATCTATAAGAGCCTGATGTTAATAGGGCTATCTGTAAGTGTTCTGGCAGCTAAACACACTCTAAAAAAACCTTGTCAAAAGATTAGCAGATAATTGTTGGGTTTTTTTTTTGCAAATGTTGTGTTGGTTTATCGCACATTTCTCTGTCAGATTCCAGTGAAATACTTTGGCCGGGACTGCAAGGTCATTGTGTAATGTGCAATAATGATCTTAGTTATACAATCTAGATAATATGAGAAGCGAGAGGTGAATAAGGTTTCCATTTTGCCATAAAGACAGCGCCTTGTGCTCAGCTAAAGTGAAAGATGATTACTTAGAGAGGATACGATCCTTCATCCATTTTGGTGGAAGGGGGCCAGTCATATTGAATGAATGCCAAGTCCAGTTATCATTTTTTCAGCTATATAGAAATACAGACATCAACCTGGGTCTTTGAGGCACCTGCTGACCTTCTACCAATAGAGTTTATTGGCAAGGCATGCACGTGCAGGAAGGGTGACATCAATTTAAGGGGATTAATCTGTACTGGAAACAAATCTTAAATGTTGGGTAGCCATTGAAAAGGCAGGACCAAGATATTGACACCTTGGTGTCATTCAAGCTATTTGCTGATGAAGGATTTGGCCTTGCTAACCTTGGTCCTGGAGATCTACAATCTAGCAGGCCTTGTAGTTCATCCTTAAATTGTCACTTTGTAAAGACTCGAAACACATGTCAGATTTGATTAGTGTAGTAATTCAGTTTATTCAATTAAAGCAGAACTGGCCACCTGTGGTCCCGGAGAGCAGCTAGGTGTTGGTATTTTCATATCAAATCTTATCTCTAAACTCCTCAGATGAGCAAATCACCGGCTGAAATGGTCAAAATGAAACTGTTCTAAGTGTTAAGAAATTGATGAGTTGGGAGTGATCTGTAAAAGCTGCTGGATTGTTGCTTATTAGGACCCTGAAGATGCTTTTCAGCTGCTGTTTTCGTTTTATCCTTAATTAAATGTCTGTGGTTGGTTCAAGAAGATTTAGATTACCTAATACAATATGCTATTTATTTAGCAGGCAGTGCTGAATCAATCATTCTGCAGTGATAGGAGTTATACACTTTGAATAAGAAAATATTCTTCCAAACCACCATTATAGGTGAAAATGGTAGGACGCTCAATTTACAGGGAAATATTGTCAGCCCCAGCCATTTGTGGCTACACAGACCAGAAATGCTCATTACAGCTGATAGAGCCCCCAAATTAAATTGGAGAGGCTGATGCATCTTTCAGACATATCACATCTGTTTTCCCATGAGCATTTCTAGCGCTCAGTTCTATCAATCAAGTAGATGATATTTGCGATTAATTGAGTAGCTCCACCAGTCAGGAAAGGGTATGGTTTTGTTCTGAACTCTGCAATCGTATTAAGAATCATGCAGCACAGCAGTCAGTGATCAGATTATTCAGAGATCACAATGGCGCTGTTCATAACCTTTGCATTAGCGATTTAGGCCTGACCTCATAAATGTAGTTCATTCCGTGTTGCTGGTGAAACTACAAAAAGGTGTAAGGGAGCTAAATGATTCAACCTTAATTGCTTTATTATATGGCCATATATAACTCTTGCTAATGTGTTTTACAGCGGATGATGTCTGTATCTCTTTGACAATTATGATTTTCAGCTGATGGTTTGAAAAATGCATCATGACATACTGCATGTACAGTAGCTACCAAAAAATATTTTTGCCCCAGAGGAAACGGATAATTTATCTAGTTCATGAAATGCATAACAGAGGACCTGGATGAATTGTAAAACAAAAGGACCCTCTGGGAATTGATATTGACATAATCATTTTGGATAATTGTGCTGGTCATCTTGAGTGTTTCCTTGTATAATTATTTTGTAGAGGAGCTTATGTAGATCTTACATGAATTGATGTGCAGCAGCTTGTAAGGAATATTTTTAACTAACTGCATCTGCTAAGAAGGTGTGACTTTGACAGACTGGTACAATTGGCACCAATCATCATATTCCTGGCAAGGGTCACAGCAACCTAGAAGCTATTCTGGATGCACAGGACACAAGGCAGGACTACATCCTGGATGGGATGCCCATCCAATGCAGGGCAACTGCAAACACAGACAATTTAGAGACTCTAGTGAACCCATCTAACAGGTCATCGGCTGGTGGGATAAAAATAAAAAACATGGGAAGCAAGAAAACTTCACAGAGAACGAGCTCCAATTCATAATCAATACCAAGAACTTAGAGCTGTGAGCAACCAACACTACAGTAGCTGCCACACCACCAACAGTTAGCACTTACGCATTTTAAATACATTTTACTGGGGAACTGTTCTATATTAAATTATAAGAATTTAAATGAAAGACTGGAAATGAATGTCATTGCAAATTAACCGATTGTTTGTAATTTACAGTAGGCGTTTGTGAAACTGATGTATTTGCTTTCGAGTTTTTCAATCATTCCTGGCAATACTGCGGGAGTAAAATTGGTTAAGAAAAAAATACGGATGCTAATAAATTAAATCCCAGCAAGTGCTTCAATTCATGCAGAACAAACATCATAAAAAGGACTGTTGCCTAAGCATAGATTACTTGTGAAAACTAGAAAATAATATCACCATAATTTAAAGCAATAGATTAACTTGAATGATATTCTTTAGTTATTAAAAACAAAATGAAATGTGATTCTGAAATGCAACACTTAATCAATATTGCATTTATGTAACTTCCTTCATAGACACAAATCACTGAATACTTTGTAAATATGAGCAGTTAAGCGTAGAAAATTTAATTTGGGCCATTTCAACAAATGGCTTGAGGAGACAAACAAGTCTGCTTCTCTAATTTCTCCGTGGAGTGCATGGTAGGCCTTTACAGGAATCGTACTGTAGCAGCAGACCCTACCGCCAAAATGAGCTCTAAAAGTTTAAACAGCCAGCAAAGACTGGGCATTGGCTAAAACTGGGAATGCCATGTGGAGAACGAAGGGATTGGACAGGAAAGGTGTGGCCAGTTCATTAAGGTTTTGAGGTTTGAGCAGTTCAAATTGCTTTGGAACTTTGTAGGGGAAAAAATCAGAGGCTTTATATTATGAAGAATTTGAGCTGCTGCTATAGTTCCTCTCAGGAGTCTGGCTGTAGAATAGTGGACCCAGCAAAACTGTGCATCATTTAGTATGGAGAAAAGACCAAATCAATCATTTATCTGTCTTTTATCTTTAATAGTCAAGGTCAGGCTGGTCAGAATGCCTCTACTTATTGGAGTACTTGTACATCCTGCTTTCGACGATACTCCATCTTGTTCTGTGTGCTTGTTGCAACAGACAGAAAACAGTCTATGTTTAGCTCAATGCAAGCCTGAATCACATTTATGAAACCTAGAGATTTGCTTCATTGAACATCCACCAGGAAGCAAAATCGGTAACTTGCTCTTGAGATCACATGGGCATTGATGGTAAAAACAAGCACAGCAGGCATTTTGTCGGTGTGTGTGTGGAGTGAGGTATTGTCTTTGTATCTGAAGCAATCCCTTCAAGAGGCTGCAGACCTCTGGAAGGGCGTTACTAAGGAATAGCGCATTGGGCTTCGAGAGTTAGCAGCAGCATTCTCCATCAGCTTGCACTGGCAGTGGGTGAGGCGCACTGGTGCAGTGTAAATGCGGTTTCCAGGGAAACCATTCATACCCTGAATGGAATGCTAAGAGGCAGGGTGACCTATATATAGACGTGTGGTGCCGAGCAAGCGCTGCAGAAACAGATGCAGGTTTGCGGTTTGCACAGGTTGTATGCATCACTGATTTTTCATTACTGGACAGGAGCTCATATCAGCAAAATCCCACTGGAAGGATAAAGAAAATAAGCAATTTGGTGCTCTCATTATTCTAGATATATCAGAAACTTTAAAGGCTGATTTTGCAATATCCACTTGCCACTAAATTGAGCACAGCAATATAATGTATAAATATTTTAAGAGGGGATCTTTCTGATTTTTTTGGCTTCTTCGCTCCTATTAGTATTAGAAGGCCTATGGTGATAAAAAAATAACAAAAGAACGAAAGTAAAATGCACAAGATCAGATTTTCTTACAAGACACCCTGTGTTGAAAGGATCAGCTCCCTTGAATCAGTCCTTTTCTGTAGATGTTTACATGACACCTAATCATGGATTTTCTGCGCACATCTCGAGAGCTGTCTGCAGGCATGCATCAAGAGCACTCGGACAGTAGCTGCTTGAAGGGATGAGCTGATGT